CCAAGATTCAATATTATTTTTCTTTTTTTTAATTACCTTTCTATTATCTTTCTCACCCTTCATATTTTGATTATTATCTATTTTATCACTGATATAATCTAATTTTTCATTTGAAAGATATGAAGGTGAAACATTTTTGCGACATCTGAAAATTTTATCCATAATATCCATCCATTTCCAGTTAACTCGTCCTGATCCACTTTGATTATTTTCTTGCTTCACTTTGCTATACTTTTCTAAGAGTCTATTCAATCGCCTTTTAATACTTTCTGCAGTTTTTGATTTAATAATATCTCTGAAAACTAAAGCATAAAACTCAGATTTTTTTCCCTTCTGATATTTATTGAAATTATCTTTCAGATAAATCAATAGTTTATATGTTTCGTCATTACTCCATCTATCAATAGTTTGAGGTTGATCATCAGAAATTTTTTGCTTCTTCTTTTCTTGTCTTAATTTCTTCACTTTTTCCAAATCCTAAATTGATTTTAAAGTCAATTACCAAAATACTTAATTATAAAAGCTGAGATTTTATCCTCACCATTAAGTTCTCTTGATCAAAATACTCTTGATATCGGGATCAAGTTCAGAGTTAACATCATGTAAAAAAAAACCAGTATTTTTCTTAGACTGAAGAATATTAGTTTCATGCAATGAATCATAATCATTTGGTCTTTCCCTTATAGTAATATCAATGATAATGTTTGACCTTTCTATTACTCGAGTGTTTATATCAGCAGCTACCATCAGAGTACTTAGTTTTAATACTTGAATACCTGACTTAGATATTAATTGGAAATTTAAAAATTGTTAAGAAGAGCTATCAACCATTTGAGTATATGGTAACTTTGGAACTAAAGGTCTGTATTTTTGTAAGTTTTGGTTATTTTTATAGCTTTGAGAACTTTGAAAACCATTAGCGTCAACTTGGCGAAAAGACATTTTGACAATTTTTGATGAGAAAATTTTTGTTTCTCACGCTTCTAGTTGGTTGACGTGATGCATTTTTTTTGAACTAAAAAAAACGCCAATTTTTTTGTTTTTAAAGTTCGGTATTAGTTCACATCATATAAAAAGATCAGTCCAATCAAATTTAACAAAAACTGAACGAAAAAACTGACTGACCGAAAATGAACAGGCCTAATATTACTTTCTTTTAATGTAAAATTTCTATTATTTCTTTGATATCTTTAGCAAAATCTTTAAAACTTTTTATCATGTGATCCATGATTTCTTTAACTGTTCAGTATTTATTGTTATTTTAGTTGATTCAAAGGTTGTAAATATGGAAATAAAGAGTGAAATAGAAGTATTAAAAGATTTTATAAAACACTCAGTAGTATGGGTGACTAATAATAAATGTTGTAAAATGAAAAGTAAATCAATAGAATATAGGTAATAATTTAAACAATATAATAACGTGATTGCTATTTTTGTTATTTTATTACTATTATGAGCATTTTTACGATAGCTATCTAAATAAAGTTTAAATGCTATTAAAGAACAATTATTAAATGCTGTAGTATTATATTCACTAAAGATCCAATTCCAAAAGTTTTTAAAATTCTTTGTTACTATTTGATTAATAGGATTTCACTATATCTTTTTTCAAGGATGAATTATTTCTATGTGCTTCTTTATGATGTTCTTGGATTATTTTTAGAATTTTAAAACTAGTAAGTATATTTTTATAAGTTTAATAAGGACAATTATAAATCCTAGTAGGAATCACCAATTTGTTAATCTTACGCTTAGCCTGTTAAATTTAGAGTAACTATAACTTAATAACAGGAAGTAATGTGCGAGAAACTATTAAGTTACTGTAGAATAAGTCCTATTACAATCAACCTTAAATTTATTCTTTTAGATAAATAAATAACTTTAACAACTTGTAAATATGATAAATACAATTGATATGTTAAATAATTTATTTTTAATATGTGTAATTTTAGAAAGAGATTTCTTTATTGTAAAGATTTATATTCTTAGCAATCCTTAACCTTAGATTCTAAGTCTTGAACTTAACCTATTGAGTTTACATTGTTATCTTTACCCTTTTGTAAGGATAAATTTCTATCCTATTTATACAAAAATACAATTATAAGAAATTATTATCTAACACTAAACTATTTTATAATGATAAGATAAATATAAAAAATAATTATAACTTAACAATAATAATAATATAATATATGAATAAAATAAATAAAATAAAAATATTAATTAAGTTAAAAATGTTAATGATATTAATAATGTTAATCATTCATCAATCTTTGTGATACAGTAAGATTAACTTTATATACTTAACAATCTCAAAGATATTAAACAATAAGATACAAGTAAATAAGCTTATTTGGAATTAGGATAAACCAAATTATTCCTTTTAGTTTATTAAATCCATTCTTAACTATTGATTTCTCAAGAAATACAAATAAAGATTTAAAGGTTATTTTATTAAGATTATAATTTTCTAATTCTCTTCTAATTTTCCAACTTTTAAACTTGATTCAAATTTGAATGTCCTAAAACTAACTTGAATTCTTAAAATATTTATATAAAAATATTATGTAATACTAAGCTAACTATAATAATTGATATTGTCATAATATAGCTAACTTACTCTATACTGTTTGCTGTTAAAAGTGCTATCTATATATATTTGTTATCTGTATTTCTATTATTTCTACCTATATTTTTATTATTCTTGCCTGTATTTCTTTTTTCTGTTTCTGTTTTTTAGTATTTCATTTTTTGTATTCTAAATACAGTTAATTACAAATATTTGGCTAATTACATCATTTGTCTATTCTACTATATTTATTCAACAAATATCTACTGTACTAAATCATATAATTTACTATACTTTAATCTATATATTATCTTACATAAATACTATTTTGCTATTTAATAAATTACTTTCTTAACAGTTATAATTTAATAAATCAAATAGATATTTATTAGTTCTGTAATACTATTTTAGATTAATTTATTCAAATTAAATTAGAATAAGTTCAACTATCTAGTACAGAAGGTTTGATTGCTACTGATCTAAAAGTTTGATCAGTTTGTATCATATTTAAAAGAGGAGAGAAAGTAATGTAAAATTATAAAAGAATATTTGAGTTTGAAAAGGAAAAGCTAGTGTTAATTAAGTATATTTTCTAATCAGATAGCATTATGTTATTGAAGATTTCAAATGTTTGATAATTGTACATCATTTAAGTCAAAAGTATTTTATTTTGAAGAATGTGTAATAATAAGTGAAGGAAAGGAGGTCATTTGTTAATGATATATTATTGATAAGATAATAGTATAATTAAATAAGAAGAAGGATACAATTTCTCTAATCAAGTCAATAAAGTTAAAAGAGCCATTTTGGTCATTCAAGAACCATATGTCTATATTGAATAACTTAGAAAAATCTTGAGTATCAGAAATTAATATAATTTAACTGTTGTATAAAAATTGTTTGGTAAAGGATATAATGTTAACTATTTAGTATTCAGTATTATTACAAATCCAAATGTGATCAAATATTTCGTGTATAAAAGAGCATTTAAGATAATTTTATGATTAATTATAAAGATTTGGATGTCTTATCTTGAGAATCTCTAATATAGGCAGTAGTTTAACATGAGTTTTATTTTAAATTTACAGATAGATAAGGCTTTCAAGAATGTATGTAAATGTTATCATTTTTAGTAAGAATGAAGAAAATACATAACCTATTAATATCTATTCAACTGTATTTTTGAAGGTATAGAAGTAACTGAATATTATAAAAATCAATAGAATAGAGAAGATCTTTTACAAATTATTTTGATAAAATAAGTACAATATTATTGTGAAAGTATAAATTATACTTATATTCAAGTGTTATATTATTCAAAGTAAGATTAAAACTATTAGTTTTCACAAGAGTATCAATTGTATTATTATAATAATTATTTATATAAGCTTTAACCTTGTGAAACTCAATAGAAATAGATTTATCTCTAATTAATTTTATGATGAGAAACTAAATTAGGTAATAAGAAATTTTGAAAATAGGATTAAGGGTTAAAAAACAAGTGAAAAAATAGTTCATTTTGAAAAAGATATAATAACATTTTGGAAGTTTATGAAAATATTAATAGAGGCATTTGTGAAAGTTACACTTCCTAGTCAAAAGTATTAGATCACATAATTTTTGTTATACTAATTAGCATAATTTTGCTGATTATAACTTGTGATCTAATGCATAAAAATGAGTCAATTTTATTTCCTACATAGCTATGAACTTCTTGTATTCAAATATAATTTTTTAAAATACCTAAAATATGAGAACTTTCTGAATTTAAGCAAAATGAAATAATTGGCCTTTGAAAAAGTGGTCATATTGAATGAGATATTGTAAATATTCTTGATCATCCTAAGTCATCCATTATAATATTATTGAAAAGATAAAACTGAATACCAAATTTTCAATGCTTCTAGGTTTAGCAAACCTCCTAAATTAATACAGTTAAGGTTGGATATAATGATGCTATTATATAATGATAGTGTCTTATAATGATAAAAAATCTTTTGCCCAAAATAATTATAGTTAAATTAGTTTTATATATTGATTTTAATTAATAAATCTCTTTATTTTATTTTACAATAGATATTACATATACTTCTAATATAAATTAGTATCATTTTATAATGATATTCATATATAATAATATAAAATCTATATGGAATGATATACAACATCACGTGATTTATAATGCAGTGTAAAAAAATTTTTTTTTTTAGTATAAAAATTATTGCAAAATATTTTCTCTCCTAATTTTTTTTAATGCATGTACAGTATATTCGGTGAGAAAAATGTAGATGGTGTATTGGATATCAGGAAAAATTTTTAATTACTTTTAAAAAAAATCCATAGATTTTTTTTTCAAAAAACAACCTGATTAATCTTTTTTTAAAAGGTAATCTAATAACCTTTTTTTGAACAACCCTGGATGTATTTTTTTAAACTTTTTATAGATTTTTTTTTTAAAAAATTCTGTTAATTTTTTTTAAAAGAACCTAACCTTTTAATTGTATATACCATCCTGATGAATTTATTTTTCAAAAAAATAATACGATTAACCTTTTTTTTCTAAAAAACCTAACCTTTTTAATTATATAAGCAATACCGATGAATTTTTTTTTAAAAAAAATTCCAGTTAATTTTTTTTTAAAAGCAATCTGATTCAAAAGGTAACTAACAATTTTTTATTACATAAGCATAACCCGATAGATTTTTTTTTAAACTTTTATACATTTTTTTAAAGCTTCGATTATCCTCTTTTCAAAAAGTAACAAACATCTTTTTTTATTGCACAAGCACAATCTGATGGATTTTTTTTAAAGAAAATCCAGTTAATTTATTTTTTATAAAAGTCAATTTGATTAACTTTTTAAAAGATAAC